GATGATGGAATGCACATGATTTCTGGCTCTTCCCATGCAAGTCAGAGAACTTGCACCACCCCACCAGTCATTCCAGCGGCCCTAGCACAGCGTGCTAAAGCCTGTGCCTTTGACTACTGTCCCTGGGTGAGTGTGTCTGCTGTGAGTGGTCAGAATTTACACGGAGGGCACATATACTCCAAATGCCTCACTGAGCTCTCTCTACAAACTCACTCCTTCCCCTACCCCAAATGAGACTGATAACATTCTTCTGAGAGTGATAAAAAGAATCTTTCTCTTTGAACATTTTACTGATAGTCCATCTCAGTGTACACATATGCATGACACAGGAGCAGAGTTCTCTATAGCCCAGAGAAGCTTTTGCAGACAGTGTATCAAGCTGCCAAGACTCCAGATAGGATATCTAAAAGAAACAACAGATTCATCTTCCTGTAGACACAAGGAAAGTGGACGTGCTTGGCTTCAGGCACAGCCCTGAGAGGGTTGGGGTATAAGTAATTCATATCAGAGGGCCCGTTTTCTGCAAGGCCATCTTTGCATCTGCTGTCTTCTGTGTCATCGCTGATTGTAAATTGCTAGAAATGGTTTAGAGATTAAGATTTTTCCTGATATATATCTGTGTACCCCTTGAATCTACCTATTGCTAAAGAGCACATGAAGTCAACAAGAGCTAACTACCTCCCAGAACTGTCCAGTGTCCCAGTGGAAGTCATCCAGCATTGGCCCAGGAGGGACCCTTGCCTTGGGTAGGAGGTTGGACTTGAATGTTTCAAGTCAGACTTTGTCGAAAGAACTCACAGGCTACAGCCTGGCTTTAGTGTATTATTTACGTAAGTTGCAAATTAAATAAGATTTTTTTCTCTCTCTCTTTTTAAAAAGTCTCTCTTTGATAACTCTTCTCCTTGAAACTTTTTCTGCCCTCCTCAAAGTTGAGCGTGGAGCTTCATCCCTGGATTTTATAATCATCTACTCTAGTGTTGGGATGGCTTCCGAAGAAAGAAAATGTGACAGGTGAGACCACCACAAACTAGCAGTTGGCACCATAGTGGAGGAAAGTGACCTTATCTCGGCAGCCTTGGGGCTGTGTTCCACTCTTAATATTTCTGAGCCCTGAGGCTTACAGATAAGTGCCTCAAGTCTCATTTCCATGACTGTAAGGTGGAGAGAATGCTGCTTCTTGGATTGCAATGAGGTCATTTAAGATGCCTCAGGCTATTGGGGGGGGTGTCTTTGATGGTGGCTATCTTCAGTGTATAGCAAGTGATCGTGTGACTGATCGTGTGGAGTTCCAGTTAGCTCCAAAGTGGGAAGCGGTCCCGAGTTCTGGGTTCTGATCCATATAGGACAAGTGTTGAACCTGTAGAAGTCGAGGTCCTAGTTAACACTCGGGATAAATCAGTCTTCAAAAGAGTTTTAACACAGCTGGGGATTTAGCTCAGCGGCATAAGTGCCAGCCTCGTGAGTTCGATCCCTGGTACCTGTAAAAAAAAAAAAAAGTTTAACACATCAAACTACTAGATTAGAGTCAAAGATTAACCATCAAATAGTATAAGCTTTCATTTTATATTTTTAAAAAACAAAGTCACTGCTAGAAACATAAAAATATCTCAAAATTCTGTTTGCCTTTGTACCTTTCTTACTAATGAAAGGGAAGAATAGTGCATATATTACAAATGTAGAGAGAGTGATTTTTTAATGTTTGCTAATTCTTTGACAGTTTCTCCCCCATTCTCTGAACCCTTTCTTTGGAACCCCCTTGTCTAGGTATGCAGGGTTCCTGGGCACAGACAGGTATGGCATGCCCTTGCCCAGACTCCACCACTCAAGAGGGCAGCCTGTCAGCCAGTACCATGCCTAGTCAGGGGAGCTGGGGTCCCCCTACTCTATGCCCTCCCACCTCTCCCCTTCCCTGCGCTGCAGCAGAAGCTGTCCTTGGAGAGCAGGCAAAACTTGGTGTAAGTGCAGGACCTAAGGGACCTTGGACTGCAGAGGCATAAAGCTGAGGTGCCCTGTGCCTTTGAGAACCCTCACTTCCAGTTCCAGCCCGTTAGCACTGTTAGCATTTCTTCCACCTACAATCTAACACTTAAGAAAAAAATTCCGAGCTCTTGAAGGATCAACCATGAGACATAAAAAGAGAACCTTCAGCCAGGGGTTTAGTTAAGCACCGTGAGTCCCTGCTTGGCAAACTCACAAGGAGGTGAGTTCAATCCCTGGCACCAAAAACAGGAACCTTCAAAAGTGCAGCATTGAAGCCAGGTGTGGTAGCCTATAATCCCGTCACTTGGGAGGCTGAGGCAGGAGGATAACTGCAAGGTCGAGGCCAGCCTGGGCTACAAAGTGAGTTCAAGGCCTGCCTGAACTGCATAGTGAAACTTTGTCTCAAAAAGACCAAAAAGAAAAAGAAGTGCAATGTTGGGATTTAGAGTTTCAGCTTCTTACCCTTTTGCGTAGAAGCTGTGTTGGAGTGATTTTTCAGGACTTAGCTTTAAAAGAAATTCCTGTTCTACTTAGTAGTCACTTCCTGGCTTGACCTTTATTGACTTTAGCTTCCATACAGCAGCAGTTCTTTCCATGTTACTAAACAGAATTTGGCTCCTTCTGTTCTCCTGATGTGAAGACTCAATGTGCTCTTCAGCCATATGCTTTCTTGCAGGTGGTGAGTTTGTTTGGGGCAGAGTGTAGTTATATTGTCACCTTAGGTAGGCCTGACCGTTACAGTGGTAATTTTCTGTGACCCGGGCTTGGCTTGCCAGCCACTTCCTGACCTCAGTGGGCCTTCTCTGCACTCCTCACCATGGAGTGATGTATGTCCGACCCACAGGGACTTTAGAAGGCTCCCAATCTAACCTGCTTAGCTTACTTGATTGGGTAACTGAGGCCCAGAGAGGCTTCAGGGTTCTCTCCAGGGCTTCCTTTAGTTAATAGTAGGAGTCGGTTTTCAAGAGCTGTTTGCTGAGCTTCAGTCAGATGTTTGGCAGGGGGATGAGTGATGCACAGCTTCCTCGGTGGTGTCTTCTGTGGGACTGGAATGGAGCACCACTGGTAAATTAAGGCATTCTCAAAGTTTGCAAGGCACTGAAAGGCACATTCAAGTGTTGCACACTTTTTTCAGGTTGTGCCATGTGCTTGATGGGGTTATGAGGAGATGCCAAGTTGTTGGTTTCAAAACATGTTAAAGCATAGCTGATTTTTTTTCAATACTTGTTCATGTTGTAAAAGAGACCAGATATAAAAAGTGCTTTTTTTCTTGCAATCATGTATATTTTTTCATATGGAGACCAAGAATACAGAACCAGGGGTTATTATCCTAGCAGAGCTGTGTCTCTAATTTCAGCGTGTGGAACCAAGTCCTGGGCAGTATTCTGGCAGGGGTTGGATTCTCAGTGCGCTCCTCCTTCGTCCCTGGCTTTCAGCGAGGGGACACTCCCATAGTGGGGAGGTGGCTGCCTGACCTCGAGCAGCTGTCCTATTGAGTCCTTGTTGTCTGCCCCTCCCCAGAGACGAACAGGGCTTGGGTCTGGGCCATTCCTTTGCTCGTCTCCCTGCCCGGGGTTGTTGAGTTCCCCAGTATTGTAGGAATCCACTAGCAGCAAGCCTGTTTTCTGGGATTAGAAAGATCCACTGAACCCAACAAGTGACTGAGAAGTAGTCTTGTGTTTCCTGTTAACTATAATGCGTGACTTGTAGCCGCAGTTAGTTCCTGTAGTCAGACACGTCAAAGCAGGGGTGCAATTGCTAATACATGAGCACGGCACGGTGTCTGAAGGCTACAACTTGAACCAAGTTTCCGACTGCCAGATACAATCCCAAAGAGGGGCAGGCAGCCATTGCTGAGACCTGTTCCGGAACTGGGCCACCTGCCCAGTGCTTGTGTCCCTGTGTGACTGGGGTGTGTCCCCCATGGGAGGCAAGCTCTTCCTTGTCGATCGCTGGAATTGAGCGGCCAGCCCAGGAACCTGGAGGAGGAGTTTCATGCTGCTGTGCAGTTTCAGCCCTTGGTCAGCACAGGACAAATGAAAAGATAGTGACCCGGTTTCTGTCTCCTAGAGCAGGCCCCCCTCCCCCCACCAAATTACCTGATGGGATTCCGGCAAAAATGAATGCTGATAGATCATTTAGCTTCTCAGCAAAACTTGGCTGTTGCGCTCACATATTCTGCATTTGATCTTTGAAATTTCAAATTTTAATACATGACTTTGTTTTTCTAGCCCATAGGTTGAAAAAATAAGGTCAGTATTGATTTGCCAAGTAGCGATATTGAAGGGTAGGGTTTGATGCAGTGGGGCAGCAGCTACACAAGTTGTCCCTGATTCTACCAGAATTTCAAACAGGATGCTACTTCCAATTCCACGGAGCTATTTTGGGTTTGCGGGGTGGGCACTGGGCCAAGAAAGCACAGGGTCCATTTGTATGTGTTGGCTTTTGGTGGGTAAATGAGCCACATAAGCAGAGCATTGCCATCTGCAGCCAGCAGTTAGTAGGACCCTGGTCTGGAATCCAGAGCGGCTGCACAGTGGTGAGGAGGAGGCTAAGCCCACGTGGGCTGGGCTCATAGTGCTGACGTGCGTGTGAGGTCTGTCTCTAGGTCAGCGCACAAAGGTCTGTGTACTCTTAAGAGGGAGCTGAAATCAGTGCCTGTCAAAGTCACAGAGCGCCAGAATTTCAGCGACCCTGGTTTTATGGGAGGACCTGGAGACTTGATCACCATTTATTTATAGCATTGTTCCTAAGGAAATGTTTACTCAGAATCCACCAAGGCAGCTTGCCAGCCAACATCCTAAGTTAGCTTCCGCCTGTCCAGCTACTGTCTCACCTGGGACTCAGCTAGAGGGTGTGCAGCTGCCTTGCCCTGCACCCTGCAGTCCGGGCCGCGCAGAGGGGAGGGGGGAAACACGGGCAGCCGGCTCTCAGGCTCTCTCCTGATGACAGCGCCTTTGCGTAGCTCCACGTGAGTCCTGGCTGCCGTGGCACTTACCACTTTCTCTCTCCCCACCCAGGCTGAGGGCAGCCCTGCCACTGAGGACAAGAGTGAGGCCTCTACTACAACCACCAGCACCATCACCATCCAGGAGTACTTCGCCCAGCGCATGGCCCAGCTGAGGACCAAGTCTCAGCAGCCCACTCCTGAGCCTGGCCTTTCAGAGACCCCCATGGGATGGAAGAGGGGAAAGAAAAAGAACAGAGAGGTGGCAGCAGATCAAGACGTGGAGAATTTTCCCCAAACCACAGCCTGGCGGCCTAAAAAGAAAAAGCGGGAAGAAGAGGAAAGCCAGGGATACACAGCCACGAAGGAAGACCAGGCCAAGCAGCAGGACCCCTTCGGGGACGAGGCCGCTGAGGACCGTGTCCAGGCCCCTGGTGGCCAGGAGTGTACCCCGAAGCCCAGAAAGAGCAGAGCAAAGACAAAGCGACAGCAGCTGGTAGAGGCAGCTGTTGATCCTGCTCCAGATGAAGCTCCTGTGAAGAGGAAGAAGAAGAAGAAGAAAAAGAAAGCTTCTGGATGAATTCCCCCCTCCGGGCCTTGGAGCAGTGCTCTGGCAGGCACACGGGCAAAGCCAGCCTGAAGCCTGGAGCAGGGTCAGCCAGCAAAGCTGGGTACAGCTTGCGGCTCTCGGGCAGATGCCTCAACTTGCCTCTTACCCCTTTCCACATCATCTTCCAGAAGACACGTTCTGCTGTTCCACGTTGTGACTCTCAGCAATAAATAAACAGTTTCAAACTCTGAGCCTCTCACACAAGTGTCCTGTTCACACCCAAACAGATGCACGCAGCTGTGTGTGCATGTGTGTGCTTGCGTGCGCATGCGTGCTTCAGGGTGTGTGCATCCGTGTCCTGTCAGCGTGCCTGCTCACACCTTGGGAACAGGGACCTGTACTTCCTCCAGAAGAACTGGGTCTAATTAAGGGATTAAGAGGCAGCAGTTTGGATTGAGAGAGTTCCTTCTGTTCTGCAGCCAGCCGCACGCACACCTCTGCCAAGTGGGAATTATGTGACTGCATTCCCAAGCGAGGGGGCTTTGTTGTGCTGCGCTCCAGTTTTGCCGGGGCAGCCGTCTTTGCCGGATGGCTCAGTCGTCTCCCCAAGGCAACAGCCTGGGGCAGACAGTTGGCATCTCACCCTTCATGGGCTCTAGTTTGGGTGTATTAGGAGCTCAAGGTCCAAGCTCCTGCAGAGAGGCTCAGCCCGGGACACCCACAGCACCTCCAAGTCAGTCTCCCCTTGGCCAGCACTGCCTGCAGAGAGCTCTTACAAGTGTGCCTCTGTAAATAGAGACGCCTTTCAGCCCTGGCCGAACTGGCGGGTGTGCCTTGTGGTATGAACCTCCTTGGCCACCTGCTCACCTGTCTCCCGGGGCCTTCGGGCCTGGCCCTGCATGTGCTCTGGACAGCACTGTGGCCTCGACCTCTCTTAGCCTGCACCCTCCCCCCGCTTTCCTTTTCTTTTCACCCTGTACACTGTCGTCCCCTCTTGCTCTTGTTTTCCATTTCCGTTGCTTGGCCACTGCTGGAGCCCTAGGCCCCTGCCCTGTCTCTGTCTGACTGGGGCCATGCTGCTGATAGGGTGAGGCAGGGAGGCCCTGGCTGGCTGGCATTGTTTGCCCCTTGATTTATAGATCACTGCTGGCAGCAGGAACTAAAAATCTCGCACACATTCTCATGATTTTTTGCCCTTGATTTTAACTCTCATGGTCACACATGTTATAAGAAGCCGCTCTGCAAGAGTCTTGAAATTGAGACATTGCATGCAGTGCATCTGGTCTAAGTCTATAGGCACAGCAAATGGTGCCATTTGTAAAGACCCTGCTGCCACCCCACCATCCACACACACTAACACGAAAGTCCTGGCCTCAGCCTGCTGTCTGAATTTCCCCATTTCTTCGGGGGTTAGAATCCCAGCTACAAAGCCCCAGGATTTATAGTCACTTTCCTCACAGAGGGCACATGCCCAAGTTACCTTGGCCTGTCCCATCTTGCAGGTGAAACTGCAGGCCCAGGAGGGAGTGGGAATGCATACAACCCAGGGGGCACTGTTGCCCAGGAACATGAAGTTGATTCCTTTTTGCCTTGTGTTGCACTAACCACTTCTTCATCCATGAGGAGAGCCAGGAGGACGCAGGGCCCATGTGCAGGAGTGCCAGGAAGCAGGCAGACGTTCACGTCAGCAGAATGCGGGGGCTGCATGGGAGGCCGAGGCAGCAGGTACTGCGGGAGGCAGGTCCACGGCAGCCTGCACCCCTGGAAGTGTGGCTTGTACAGAAGGGATTCAGGGGGTGAGGGGCTGTGACTGTCGTGGGCTGCAGGAAGGCCTCAGATGGTTTTGAACAGTCAAACAGGTATCCTGAGGATGAGGATGATGCACAAGCTCAAAAATACAGTGACCGTTTGCTTTAGAAGTCCTTGACTTTTCTTTTTTCCACTGTCTCTCAAGCCACTTTGAGGTGGGTCAGAGCAGAAGTCATAACAGTGAAATACTCAGAATTGCATTTCGCAGGCCTGATACTTTTGAAGTTGTTAGCACATATGAACCGTAGTTTTTGCCTCAAATTATCTGACCAGGAGGAACATAGATTGATTTTATATTCTGCTGTGCTTCTCTTGGCAGGAAAAGCAGGTTCCCAGGAAGAGACCTGTTTGATGAAGAGATTCTTCTATGTGATCTTTCCTCTTCTGTTTATTTTAATAGATTATTATTATTATAAGATGAAGTTGTAGCCAGACATAGTGGTGCATGCCTGTAACGCCAGTCCTCAGGAGGCTGAGGCAGGAGGATTGCAGTGAGTTCAAGGCCAACTTGAAATACATGGCAAGACCCTGCTACAAAGCAAAATAAAAAAGATGAAGTCTTATGTGCCTGCCCTTATTTCCAGCACTTTAAATGGATCAACTCACTCAAGTCCTCAGACAACCTGAAGAGGGAACCAGTATCATCATCCCCTCCTCCAGTATCTACAGACTAGATTGGTGCTGACCCATGGACCCACAACACCACAGACCTCTCTGCCAGTCAGACCCTAGCTCTTCCTCCCCAACCCCGGCCCAACAAGGATTCATGTTGTCAGTGTCCATGCCAGTGCTGCTTCCGAGTGGGGGTGGATCTGGAAGCAGCTGGCAGACTAGGTCTCAAGTGACTCACGTTGGTATTTGTGTCTGCTGTAAAAAGTGCCCTTGGGTACACTGCGCATCAGAAAGCTCAAAGGATTCACCTTTCTAACCTGGTCAGGTGGTTAGCTGGGAATTAGGTAAGAATGCTCCTTATAGCCTGTTTGCAAGTCTGCAAAAAAAAAAAAAAAAAACTTCTGAGTTTTAGGAAATACTGATGTTCTGGAAGATAAAACTCAAATGAGTGCTTGTCTCCAGCACAGGCGTGCTCTGCTTTCCTCTGGCCTCGCCTGTGCAGAGTGGCAGGAGCAGGCCAAGACCTGTCAGGATCCCAGAAGAGTTTCAGTACAATCTCTCAGGGTGATCTCAGCTCTTGATCATCCAACAGCGGCTGTATTTAGTTTTGAGCAAGAACTTCCTCACCACTGCCACCCTGTTTATCTCGCAGCTTCTGCAGCCTCTGCAGTTTGGAGCCTGTTATGCTGGCATGTGGAGCCCAGGAGGTCAGATTGGGTGCTCCAGTGCGATTTGATGTGATGGGTTATTGATGAGCAAATTAGTACCGTCTTCTAATGAAGCAGATGACTAAGTCCCTTGCATGAAAGGACAGTCTATTTAGGAAATACTGAATATACTAAAGTGACATATATAGCCACCTTGGAACCAGTAAGGAGGGGCATGGTCAGAGAAAAGGGTGAGGGGGCCGGGAGCACCACAGCCCCCAGCAGTGCAGACGCAGATGTGACCGGGGCAGGTGAGCGAGAGCTTCCTGCAGAGACCTGACTCAAGGCTGCTTCCTCCACCACCTGAGTAGTTTTGTGTGAGATTAGCAGCAAACTTTTAAAGGGAGGAAGTGCAGTGAGTTCTTCAGGTGAGGGAAGACCTGAGTAATTAATGATATCTGAAATGTTCTGTGTCTTCTGTATTGCATATCCTTTGAAAAGGAAAGGTACCTGGATAAGGAAAAGCAACTATTTGTTCTAAAGACACTTAGCCTCAGCTTTGGGCCCTAGGTGGATTCAAGGTGAAATCACTGACCCCTTACAGGTTCTGCCCCATCTGCTTCCCACCAATTTCTGTTAGTGGAGTGGGCTGCCGTGTCCTAGAGCAGCCTAAGCAAACTTACCCCACTCCCCTTCACGTTTATTGGGAATGCTTTGCGTATGCTGTAAGCAACCAGGGACTGCTAACTCACTGTTTGACTGCAACCTGAGGTGCGGCTTTCTTCTGACATCTCCCTACTAGCATGTTTCTAACTCCACCTAAGGAGCAAACTGGTGTTACAGGTGCTCCTCCACATTCGGGGCAGTGGAGGAGGCGTTTGTCTGAGCCAGAGGCTGAGGCTGAGTGCTAGAACCACATTCACTTCCTGTGCCCGTGTCACCAGCAGTTCTGTTCTGCTGAGGGGATGGTGTGAAGAGGGGCTTGGACATCCCTGAAACCTGACAAAGACAAAAACAAGTATTAAAATGTTTGTTAAAATGTGCAGCCTGCAGAACGTGGAGAAACAAGGCTGTGAGGAGTCCGAGGTGATCCCCGGCCCTGGACTGCCGGCATCCCCATCCGGTCACCTTCCAGCAGCTCCCAGGCCTCCTCTATCCTGGCTCCCAGCCTTGCCGCTTCCTTCTCCGCACCAGAGCTTTTCCTCCCACTGCCACCAGCTAAGCTTAAGGAGTATGCAGGAGGTCTTTGAAGTGTTTTTTGTATTGTGTTTTGTTTTGTTTTGTTTTCCGTACCAGGGATGAAACTAGTGAGCTTGCACTTGCCAGGCAGGCACTGAGCTAAATCCTCAGCCCCTGAAGCATTCTTTAGATCAGAGACCTGTCCTCACCTTCGGTCCCTATTCTGAGGACAACATGGGTGCTCCTGGCTGCTGGTTCTGCTGCTTTCTGGAGGATTCCCAGGTGCGTCTTTCTGTCCCCCACTGATCTCGAAATTTTGTCGTGCTTCTCCAGCAGACGGCGCTGAGGGCTTCAGTTCAGAGGGTCTGCGTGGAGCTCTTGTTCATCTTTCTCCTGTGCTGTGCAGCTGTTTTGGTCCCCATGCTCTCATTCACAGTGGCTCCAACATCAAGAGTTGTGCTCAGCAGCACAGCCAAACTAAACGTCTGCCATCAGTGCACAAGAAGCAGGTCCTTGCCCTCACAGCTTGGCGCTCCTCACTCTGGAGCCCTCTGCCTGCTGCTCATGGATCTCACACTCCTTTGTACCCTCGTTGCCTCCCACCAACTCACCCTGGACTGCTGCTTCCCGGGCCACCACGGCTCCCATCCCTCTGGTCCCCTGGGTGCAGCCTGGTTTGCCCATTACTGTGGGTCTCCTCCCTAACCTCCTAGGGGCTTCCCACACTGCCTTACCTTTCGAGGTTGTTGCACTGCTTCTGTGCCCATCAAAGTCCACCAGTGCTGAGAGTTTTTGACATGTCACTGTCTCCATTCTACGAAGACAGCATTAATCTCTGTGTCTCTGTAGCACCCGAAACTATGCCTTGTACACAGTAGGAGCCTTAAATAAAAAATGAACAAACCATACCTAGATAAGAATCTACTCTGAAGGCCTGAGTTATATCCAGGGATGAAGCTATACCCTTTCTCTGGGGTTTCCCTTAAATCCTAGCATTTGGTCTG